GATACTACTATTATTTTCGTTAACATATCCCGGAAATACGTTAGACAAGTTTTTATACAAGCTCGATTTAACGTTCCTTTTTCCTTTTTTTTAAAGTTATATTTCACGATAGTTAATTTGTTCGTTAGTTCATGTTGTTATTATTATTATTGTATCATTACCATTATTATTACGTTAATATTAATTTACCATATCAGTTCATTAAGTTTATCGATAAACAGATTGTAATCGCTAATATCCAAGAACACAATAATTGTTAAATAACCAAAACGCGACACGAGTTTCTGTATACAGAAAAAAAGGAGAAGTAGCCGATGATTGGAAAACATCGAGGCGCTCTCTGTCGTAAAAAGCGAACCATTGTACAGACGCGAAAGATAACGATGCCAAACATTATATATTATTAATTACGGACACTACTGCTACTATTATCGATCATTATTATTCTCAGATTACATGATTTTTTTCACGTTATGTTCCGAATGAATTTTCTTTTCCATACGCATACACACATTCGCTCATATTCGTCCCTTGTCGCCATCGCACGCGATTTCCATGAATCGTTAACTACGATCATCATAATTAATTCGTTTAACGTCGTGGCTGCTGCTGTTTCAAGCGTATCGACGCGATTTCCGAGCGAACAAGTAGTCCCTTCTCTTGTAAATTGCACGAAGCTCGGTCGATACGCCAAACCACGCACATCCCGCTCCCGTCACAATTATACACGTTTACTTTTTATACGTTTACAGAGACCAGAGTCAACATTATGCGTAGACACACGTGCACATTGTACAATCGATAATTTTTGTCATTCATTCGTGTTCTAGTGAAAAAAACGTGCTGGGACCAACTACTATCCATTCGTGTATCTTTATACAGTATTCGTATCGGTTCATTCTAGCTGAGGTAATGTTCCATTGACTTCAGTCGAGCCACCGCGGAGACGTGTTATCGATCGCGGTATTACCAATCGATCCGCTGCCGTGGTTACCAGGGCCCTTTCGATCGTGTCGCAGAATCTCGTGGTACAGCGTACCTCGGCCGAAGGGAGTAGCCTCTAATTTGCGAGGATGCTGTATTCCAATTGACGGGATCCTCGACACCCTCGATGTTCGTGCGATTCGCGCGCTGGATTGAATGGCACTGCAAGGGTCGCAACAGTAACAAGAGAAAAGGACGGAAGAAAAAGAAAAATGAGGAGAAATCGTATGGAGAAGATGGGGGTAATCCGCGAGGGTCCGCTACGTGAAATGCAATAGAATTCGAGCCGCTTTAAAGCGAGATATGTCCATATCTTATGACCCGTAGCACGGCTGGGATGTTCCATCCGCTTTAAGCTACTCCACAGATACATTCTCACGGTAGCAGTTCCCCTTTAACGGAAAGCCCCCTGGCTGAATTTATAGGGGGTGGGTCGCGGGCTTTAGAACATAAACCCTCTTCCTCCCTCCATGTTCTCTCTATCCCCCGTGCGCGTCGTATTACTTTTCTCTATCCTCCCACTTCCCTTGTCTTTATCTATTCGCATTTTTATCCTTTCGTCCTGTCGTTTTTTACTCTCTACGTTTCTCTCTGTTTACGTTTTTCTTTGTCTTTCGCTTTCGATGCTCCTTTTCTTTACTTCCACCTGTCTCTATCCTTTTGTCCGCTACGTATGCCAATCTCGCTTTCCTTCTCTAGCTCTCGCTTCTTTGCCTATCCCTCCAGTTTCACCGCTAAGCTCTTTCTCCTTGATATTTTTTTACCCTCTTTGTTCTTACTGTATCGCTATTTCTATTGCATTCTGTCCCTGCCAAAGTATCGTTTTTTCGTCTCCTTTCGACCTCTATGGTCCCCCTCCCCGTTTGCCTCTTTTCCCCACCAGCAGTGGCTCTTGTAAAGCTCACATAGCTAACACGTTCCTTTAAGCTACGTATTTCTCCCCAACTACCTCCCTCCCGTTCCTCTCACTGCTCCCGGGCTCTCCCTCTTAGCGGTTCGCAACTTCGATCTAACTGGGCAGAGTTAACGCGGGAACGGGCAACGAGAGTGAACGGCTATACAGGGCGGCGGGGTCAAAATCAATTCGCCGAGCGAAATTAACGCGCTCGAGGGCCGGCGTGTTTCGAGGGTGGCGAATTCACCAAGGGAAACCTCGAAATCTCGCGTTGCAATGGGTTTTGGTAAGAGCACACGATATGAAGGACTGACTGGTAGGGCCCTTTTTGAGGTTAGAATATGAGCACATACGCATCGAGCGAAAACAATCGATGTGGTTTCAAGAAACAATGGCCAGTGAGAGATTTACGCTTTTTTTCCTGCTATCCATTGAAACGGAAATTTGCAATTCTATCAAGGAAACGCAGAGAAGGAAACGCGTCCGGAACAGATCGATGCACGAAGCTCGCTTCCGGCGACTCGCGTCAGAATACGTGCACTCACGCGCGTGTTCAGTTTACCCTTGTCCGTGAACATTTTGCCGGAAGTATAATAATCAGAATGACATCGTTTTGTATAAAATAAAATTGACCATGTAGTTGGATATATTTTTTCTGTTTTTAATTTTTGAAGTTAGTATCAAAATAGAGAATATTATCTGTTGGTGATAAGCGTTGCTTTAAAATAGAGTATATTTAATTCATGACACATTAGAGAACGTTAGCTCGTGTGCACTTGGTACCCGCTCTCGTCAAATGGACACAGGCCATTCACACTTTTCTTAATGATCCACATCCGTCTTGAACCTTAGCAAATTGTGATCTTCATTTACACCAACTATGAATAGTAATTGAATTGTTCGTGAACTGACTAGACCACTGGTGTAAATTAATGGGATAATTTTGAAAAAAAAAAGTTTTTATCTTTTAATTACTTTTTAGAACTTTGCAGATTTTCTTTACAAATTCAGATCTATTTTTAATTTTGCTGTTTCATTAATTTTGAGAATCTACACAGAATGTCCAACGCTTGCCAAGTACCAGAAAAAGTAAGATTATTTTCAGGTTATGTCACAAACAATAGAAAGACAGAATTATTTTCCACCCTTGCGACTGTAGTCGAACAACAATATCGATCACTATCAGGTTCGAATACTATCGGATAACTTGCGAATGGAACACGAAGCCGTATTAGTCGTTGCCGACAAACGAAGCAACTATCATTGTTACATATTCATAATGTGTTTGTAAAGCGCCGCTTGAGGATGCCCCAATTGCGTACTAATCGGTGATCCTTCAGAATGAAATGAAACGTAGGACGTAAGTTCATGTACATGCGTATACCACAATACAATGTACAAAAAGCAATATCCACAAAATATATATATTCATACATACATACACAAACAAGTACACGTACAAACATATACAAACACATATGTACACACAAGATACGTAAGAAATAACATATACCTACTTTTTGATTAAATCGCAATTTAAATGATAACTTATCCCACTCGGTTGTAAATTTCGGTAGTACATGCTTTGTAAAATTATAAATGCTGTGCATAATGTATATAACAGGGTGAAGAAGCGAGTAAGAATGGAGAAAATGGAAGAATGAGGGCGAACAAACGAGTTTAGAACAAAATTATTTGTCCGATGGAATAATGTGTCTTATATATATACATATATATATGGCAAATAGTGAAAAATCGATATTTCTCGAAAGAAAGAACTCTATCGGTTACGAAATAATTGGTGTGTTCCTCTTATTAGATGGAGTAAAAGTAATATAATAGTTTCGTAATTACCTGACGACAAGAAACAAAAATACAAAAAAGATATAGATCACAGAATCACGAGATCTGCTTTGTCTTGTTATAATCAAATACTTTATATTATGTAGTACAGGTTGTCATTAAACGTGTGAACAAACCTACATCATTGGAACCCTTTTTTATTGTTATTATTATTATAAAAGTACTG